CGGCCTCCCTGGGTGGGCACAGGAACGGGGGGGACGCGCCGAGAAAGACCAACGGCAAATGCCAATCGTCAAGACACGAACGATGACGGTCTACGCCGTTCACACCGTCATACGCGAATGTCCAAAGAGCGGAGGGTACAAGGCTACAGCGCCACGATTGGAGGTTTGTTGTTGTTGTTGTTGTTGTTGTTGTCTTCACATTAAAAACCGTTCCGGTCTTTCTCTACCCAGTACCTTCGTATGTCCGTACTGATCCAACACTCGACGCGGTCGATTCCCGTGGTCACAGGTTAACTTTCCCTGAAAAGGTACACTCAAATAAACTGGCCCCGAGGGGTCCGCAAGTCAATAGAAATCAACGACAGATATTCTGGAATCCTCCACTCCCTCTTCGCGCTATGCGAGGTATCAACTGAGGCTAGCAGTCACTATCTATCATGGGCCGGAGAGAAAGAGGTACACCTCCTTGGTTCAATCTTGGTACTTCACAACGCGAGCAGAGACAAGGCCATCTGGCACAGAAAAAGCGAGAAAAAAAGAGAGAAAAAAGAGAGAAAAAAGAGAAAAAATAAAAATGGAAACCGTAAGGAGAAGAGAAAATAAATGAAAATAAAATGAAAAAGGGCGAGGACAAAGAGGGACCAGGCCGAAAATAACAAGAAGTATGAGGCAGAACAAGGCACATGGTGGAGAGACCACTAACGAACAAGCAAACACGCAAACATGGCAACCAACCAGCCATACACTGTAATGGTACGAAATCACTACTGAGGGGTTGGTGCAATGGTGCAGCGTTGGAGGGGGGGGAATTGGCTAAAAGAAATTCAATCCGGCACGTGTCGTGCCACTCGGTCCGCCTCTTCTCGTTTGCTTTCTTCCCTCGCCGTCTCGTCCGTCTCCTGCCCCCCTCCCGCCCCATTGGTTGTTGGCTTGTGGTTTCGTTCGAGCGCTCGTTGTCGGCTGGCCTCTTCTTCCTTCTCGTGCCAGGAGGTCATGAACCTCTCATCTCCCTGCAGCACCGCCGCATGCCAGGGTACTCCCCCCTCCACCTTCGCGGCTTCCGTCCACTTTAACTTCGGTGACGTGTCTTTCGGTACGGGAATTCCGAGACAACATGGGTCGGTTTTCGTAGATCCGTGGTCGGCCCCGAATGCCTTCAGGTCGTCGAGCACACACTTCGGCCAGTTCTGTTCCTGTCCCCCCTTACGTGGCTTCTCCCCCCCCGCCAGCTCGCCGAGCATCAGTCGTTTCGGGAGTCGCCCGTCCGGCTGCCTTGCCAGTGCTCCCGCGGACAGTAGGCGTCGTTGTCGGATCGTGGCTTCAACGCTCTGGCATTCGACCCTCTTCAGCGTCTGGGCGTACGAGAGCTGCTGGTAGGTGTCTTTCTTGCGCTTGTACCCGATAACTCGAAGGAGCAGTCGGTGGTGTGTCGACCGCAGCGTCTGATAGTGGCCGCTGAGTGGTGACCATGTCATGCAGCCGTACAGCAGTGCCTCCATCGCCTCCGCCTGGAGGAGGCAGATCTTGAGTCGGAATGGCGCTTTCGGTCTGTCGAAGAGCTCCTGGCCATATCGCCTGAGGCACGCCCACGCTCCTCTGCTCCTGTAGCTGATCTCCCGGGTGAGGTCGCCATGTTCGTTGACGAGGCCACCGAGGTACCGGAACTCGGTCGTCTGGGCGTATTTCTGTCCCGCGGCTTCGATGGTCAGTGGTGGAGGAGGCGGGGGGGGCTGTGATGCTGTAGTCGGCTTGTCCTTCGCGCGCATCAGGAGCGTCTCCGTCTTCTTCTCCTACACCGTTAGCCCGAACTCTCCGAACACCTCAACGATGATGGTCATCATTCTCGCCAGTCCTTCTGCAGACCTCGATACGACGCCGGCATCATCGGCATACGGCATCCCCCATAGTGCTCTCCGTACTCGGTCAAGGGGTGTCTCCTCCCCCCCCCCCGCTTCCGTCTTCCCCTTCTCCAAGCACACCAGATTCCGCGGAACAACATCATCCTCGGTGAATCGGATAACGACGACCTCGAGGACCTCGGCGAAGAAGATGCTGAACAGCAGTGGGGATACCACACATCCTTGTCGCACGCCCTGTGTGACGAAGAACCAGTCCGATAGTTCTCCGTCGTCTATGCGCACCCGGGCCCGCATTCCATCGTGGAATTGGCGAATGACTTTGATTAGCTTCGCGGGAATCCCGGCCCTGGCCAGCACCTTCCATAGCATCTCTCGGTCCACCGAGTCATACGCCTTCTTCAAGTGGACGAAGCACATGTAGAGCGGTGTTTTCTTTATCCGCCCCAGCTCCTGGAGGCGGCGCACGACCAACAGCATGTCGACGGTGGATCGCCCGGGTCGAAATCCGCACTGTTCCTCCGGGAGGATGTTGTCGGCTTCGCAGAAGGCGCTTAGACGGTTGGTGATGATCTTGATGGGGGCCTTGCCTACGTGAGATAGTAGCGAAATCCCCCTGTAGTTGTTACAGTTGGACCGGCCACCTTTCTTGTACAGCACCTTGATGGTTGCGTCCTTCCACTCGTGGGGGATATCTCCTCCGTTCCACACCTTGACGAGGATGGTATGGAGGTGTCTCAGGACAACGGGTTCGTCGTCATCGATCTTGAGCAACTCGGCAGGGAGGGAGTCATGGCCGGGTGCCTTCCAGTTCTTAAGGCCTTTCGCTGCCCGTGCCACCTCCTCGAGGTCTGGCACCTCTCCCAACCGTTGAGTGTCACGTGTCGCTGGCCGCTGCGTCAGAGGTTTACGCATTGCCCATTGAGAACACGACGACGAAACTCGTCGTCACATCAATGAACTTCTGGAGCGGCTTGCGGTATGGATTAATTTCCAACTCTTGGGTGTGGAACATCACCTGCAACGGTATGACCGGGGTTGTTTTCTCGTTCGTAACGCGTTCTACATCTCACTGTGTCTCCAAGGTGTACTCGTGATAACCGCGGAGCACATTTCGCGCGAAACCCAATACCCTGACTCTCTCTGTTTCCACAGAACACTCGAAAAAACTCTCAATCAAGCGTGTGCCTCACGGGGGGTTGGCGCGATTGAATTGGGTAGCCGCGAAGCAGTTCAAATCCTGATTATTTCTTCAAATTCTCTAGAAAACACGGTGTGTACTACGTATTATCTTCTCTACCCTACAGCCGTCACTTACTCGCCGTCACGGTTAAATATTTCCCGTATGTGTTGGTGTATACTTCCGGAAGTATATATGCATACAGTACACGGGCCCGCAGAGAGATAAGAAACAAACGTCCAAATCGGGCCGAGGCTCAGTAACTCATTTCATCGGCATTCATTGTCGAGCACAGTTTATCTAGTACGAAGTATTGGTAGAGTTTAGTGTAGGATAAATCCTCCGCGAGCTGTGTAGCTATTACGTCTTCTTCGACCTATTTTGTTCACTTTGTTCGTGAAAGTTTAGCCTCTCTGTTTCTCCACGAAATATTCCTAACTGCCGGGCAGAACGCTACAGAATATATGTATCTGTTGTTGTTTCACAATTTATCCAGCATCCGAACCCGGTGTGTCGATAGACTTTTCAGCGGAAATACTCGAAGTCATAACGAAATAACAACCAGGCTGCCGGGATATCATATTTATTTACTATTTGGTGTTTACCGCGCGCGGTAAAACGACAACCTATACTCCTCCTGCAGTCGGGAGCCGAGGGGCTGCAACAGGTGAACATGAGTGGTAAGACTCAAGTTGTGTTGGTTTGGGGTGACAGGATTGATTGATGATGTGCTGTACATACCTACATACCACTATTTGATGCATGCATTCACGTGGCTTGCTTATTGTGGCACACCTTCGACATTGCGAAATTGCATACCGTACGCAGTGATATGCATAGCGTCTCAGTGACTCTACCTCGTACACGACCTCTGGTATAGAAGCAGACGCACGTATACAACAAGCAGTCTCTGTGGGTCTATTGTAGTCTACTTCTTCACATGCGGAGTCGGGTGGGAAGGCACGCGAGAGTCTTTCGGAATTCAGGCCAAGCTTTGCCACGTTGCCACGTTGTCAAGGTACCACGGTGCCCCGTTGCCACGTTGCAAAGGATGATCACGTTTCCAAGAGTGCCCATCCACATGGATTGGTCACAGAACGAAAAAAATGAGGTTGTTACGGGTCTTCCCCGTGCCATTTCACCACTCACTCAAGACTCACTCTACATTTATTTTGTGTTATTCCGGCAGGGTGTTCGTGCAAGGCGATGGGAGAATATAACCAAGGAAATAACAAAGGAAAGCAGCAGCAACAACCGCTACATCTGTGGTCGGGGCCAATTTTCACACAGCTTCGAGGTGATTTTTTGTATGTAGTGAAAAGAGTTGCATCACATTGTACGGGTTGATGTTTTGCCAGGATACCGTTGGGTTGCGTAAGATGCCACATGCATGCCCTGGACATATTGTCAAACCTCGATTACTCTGCAGTAAACAAAAGTCGGTGCCGAAAACTGCTGCGTTAGAACGTTGGAACTGCTGTCTCGTCGAGGATTTCCGAAACCATGTCTAACGAATGCGGCATCCGTCATCTACGGGACCAGAAAATGTGTACAGGTGCATTTATAGGTTGTACAGCAAAATAACGGTGACACAAGTTCTACGGTTCGTTTTTGTTTTGCTTAGATATGTGCTAGATAGATTGGTACTGGCGTGGGTAGGTGCGTGGAGTAGCCCAAAATCGCCGTTCGGTGGTGAAGCGGTCTCCGTGCACATTTTGTGGATCGGCGGGACTGTCCACGACGCACGAATCGGCGGAATTGGGTGCATGCGTTTTGTTTTTTATTGTGCGTCATGCCTGTGGTCAGCAGCTGGTTACTTGCTACTGTTCGCCCGCACTTGTGGACAGCTACTGCTGCAGGTCGGATCGCAGCTTGCTCAGACCTGAGGCGAACAAGGCAGAGGCAGATGCAAGAGAAGGCATATCACACCAACCTTCGCTGGTGACCCACCCTCTTCGATTGACATGGAGAGGTCTAGCAGAAGTTCTGCGGGTAGTTCCTTTGATGGTACGGGTGGTCCTGGAACGTCAACTTCTTGGGAGCAACATTATGGTGATGGGGATATCGATCTCGATCTGTCAAGCTTGGCCCCGAGCTACACACGCACGGACAAGGGTGAGTCAGAGAGAGGGCACAGGGAGGGGGATACACAATGGGGCCATTGTCTTGTGTCCTCAGCGGTGATATCGTAAAGCACTTGATACACGGGTAATTGCGTTGTTTTTTTTGCTTCGTTTATGTCCGCTGCTGCTGTGTCCTATACTTAGAGACTGAGAGTCCAGTTTCAAAAACACGGTTGTGGCAGGGGTAATCCGCAGAAATCCGTTTGGTATACATACACAGCAAGCAACCGCGATTGACTATTTTCCCCGAGGATGCCCAGACCTCAACGCCCCTTGCCCATGTCGCTCCTCTGTCCTGGCTTCCGACTTCAATCCCTCTCGAGAGTCTTTGCCTTCAGGCTCTAGACATGCTTGTCGCAGCGTTGCAGCAACCCTTGTGCATACAATCCTTGAAGTTTAGGGAGAAAAAAACGGATTTATATTCCGACGTCAACTCCGAGTGACCAAGAGTTTACTTTCTAAGAAAGAGACGGAGAGACGGACAGAGCGGTAGAGAGCAGTAGAGACCATCAAGAGAGTGATACACACACGTGCTTCAACAAATTGTCGGCCACGTTTGTTTCTATCGGTCACCACACACGCGTTGTAACCAACGCTGCTGTCTCATCACGAGTTGCGTCTCGCTGCCTCTTTCGTACCGACACTATACAGGGGCTGATACACAGCAGTTAAGTAGTCTAGGAACAACCCTCTGAAAAACATGAGCGAGAAAAGGAGATGGTCATGCATATCAATGACTATGGATACCAAGATGACAAATAACTTTCTTCTGGACAAACCCATGAGAATAAAATGCGCCAGAATTTTCACGCCCGTTCATCCTTGCAGCCTTGGCGCTCTTCAGACTGGGAGTCGGGTGCTGCTTCATCGTGCTCGGAACCTGCGCATTAGCTCGCTTCTACCGGTCGAAGCGGATATTGGACATTCGCACGAGGTATGTAGGCCTGGCCTGTGTCGGAATAGGCGCCCCTAACCCGGACGGCTCTGTAGTCTCACTTCTTGAGAGTCGCTACCCTTTTAGAGTTTTCGTGCATCGAACAAAAAAGGAGCAGGGTCATGCATGCGAGAGACACACTTCTCCATATAGATACAAGGTGTCCCTCCGGAGTGGGGAAAAAAGAGCACCGCGGCAAGGGGTGATGCAAGTACATGCAAATTTGTAAACGCTACCAGCAGAGAAACGACAGCAGTAAATACGTACGTATACATGCCCCGACTTGCCGTGTAGAGTACCATCACCGGGCGTTGCGCTCCTTCTACCGCCGTAAGGCACTGCTTCGACGATAGCAAGCGGAGTGCATTGTACTCTCTCGTTGAGAGCATAGCAGCTCTTGCCCAAACCAACTTGTTGCCCCCCTGTCGGGGCCAGAAACTGGAATGGAATTAAATGTGATTTGAATGTAGACTGGTCAAAATTATTAAATTATTGTCCTACTTTGGACAGGATCACAGGTACCACAAAATGTATGTGACCTAAAATATGAATGGTTCCCGACTGGACACACAGCGTGGGGGGTCTTGGTTAATATAGAGAAGCCGTTCCCTGCTTGGCGAAATCTCGGGTCCTGTAATGGGATAGCAATAGCTCGTGGTGTTGCTGCACCCCTCCGTACAATATAGTCTAGCGGTTACAGGACCGCAATATATCCTGCCCCCAAATAAGGCGGTTGTTACAGCTGTTTTCGGCGAGCAATACGGGTCATCGGTTCAAAGGTTACGGAGACTCCGCTCGTGCTTATGGGCACGCCGGGTATGTGCAAAGCTCTTGTGCATCTTTCAGTACTTCTAGAACAGAAGTTTGTGTTTGATATTCATTTTAGTGCGGTGCTTTTTTTTTGGATCTTTGCCCCGTTTCAGGGACCTTGATTTGACTCGCTCGCACTGACGTATTTTCCTTGATCAGAGCCGGCTAGCGCGGTCGACTATGTGACTACAGGCCCTATTCAGTTCTGTTTTCATTTTCGTTTTCAGTTCCGATAACTTTCACCGCCGAAAGATCGCCGGGGTGCCTCGCCACAATAACACACGTATCTAGAGACCAGCAGAGAGACAAAAAAAGGCAGCCCACCCCAAAGCGTAATAGCAACGTGGCACACGCATATACCTGTCTTTTCTCTCTGACGTGGTGCAGATGCCCGTTCGAGAACCAATGAAATCCCTATTGGACTACGCTGTAGGATCCAAACGGAAAGTACCACGGTGGGCACATGAGCACCCTTCAAACATGTGATCAATCCGGTCCCGCGTGCGCGAGAGAGAGCAGAGACAAGCAGGCCAGAGCCGATGGGAGCAAGCGATATTACTGCCTGGGTGCTTGCTGGTGTTGTGAAAAGAGAGCCAAATCAACCCAGTCATGTAGAGGGTTTATCTAAGCTATGTCACACAAACGCACAGCGAAAGGCTGCAAATGAGACAATGCGCGTGGCCCTACCAAGATGAGCCTTTCAAGGCTGCTCTTGTTTGGCACCCTCGACGCTTTTTCGGGGACACCGACTGCTAGAGAGACTCCCGAGATATTTAGGGTTTTAGGACCTCCGAGGGACTTCAGCGGAATTGCGCGGAACCTCCAAAACGCGGGATCCCCCACTGCATCGCATACGTACCACAAAATAGGTCTGCGTATCTGGTCATGGTCGGGGGCGTGGCCGGTATCCTGACGATGCTCGTCACCGTGAACGATGCCACCACCGTCATCTGGGACACCGGGTTCGACTGGTTCTGGACATCTCTGTTGCTCTTCTTCATCTCGCCCGCGCTGTTCGGGAGCTACATCTGCCGCGCGCTCCGCCTGGCCGTGGTTTTTCACCCAAGGGTGAAGCGTGCCCTGCCGTGGCTCATCCCGGTACGAACGAGTCTTCCAAGTCGTTTGTGGTTTCTTTGTGCGGTGGCTTTTTGAGTCTTTTTGTGTGTTTGTTGTACGAGAACGTGTTGCGTGTTCTTCAAGAGCGTGTTTTTGGCATCTCATCTCTATTGCTTCCCTTCCAATGAGAAAACTGATACTCTGTGCAAGATAGTCTGCATTCGTCAGGGTCTATTCACTCGGTTAGCGTCGATAACAGATGCCCTCAACCGTGATATTACTCTCTCTCTGTCTCACGACGTCCTGAGATCAGCACATGATTCGTACGCTTCGCTACACACTACCCCCCGTGTTGGCTCTTTTGGTATGGAGCTGTGAAATTGCATTTTAGGGGGCATGGGGGTTGTTCATGCGGTGTATCCTGTGAGCGTGTGGGCTTCGATCCTACCGTAGTCCATACCGTATAGGATGTCCGCTGAACACTGTATTGTTGGAATGCCCTAAACAATGCAATTCCATTGTTTCTGAACTACTCCATCTGGTACTTTTCCACCTGGGGTATGTAAGAAGACTGTACTCCAAGTGTGCCACACACGGATCGACCGACGTGTTCGCTGTGCGTGGCGCGCCTGCGTTGTACGAGAGCGCAAGATCAAAGTCTCTAGCGGTACTTGAAGTATGGCTGTGCCTGCCGAACGTCAAACGGTTGGTTAGCTGGGAATCCCCATCGACCCATGGCATGTCTAGCTTGGTACAGCAATCGCAAGGATCGTGACCAGCTTCTGGTTCATCTTGTAAAACGTAGCCTGGGCCGGCGAGAACCCGGCATTTCGCTCCGTCCCGGTATTTTAGGGGTGCGAGGTCAGTGGTGTAACGACTACGACATGCCTTTACATGAGTCCCTCCCCCCCCGCCCGATATTTCTGCTGTGGTCTATCCATGTACTCGCCGACGACAGGAGCGCAACTACATGGTGGTGCTGCTGGTCTCCAGCGTGGGAATGTTGGCAATCCCCATCTATCACGAGCACACCTTGGGGGTTTGGTGAGACGGAGCACAATACGAAACGAGAAAACAACCCCGGCCATGCTGCTGCACATGACGTTGCACACGTAGAGAGTGAGAACTCACTCCATGTTCGTACGCGGCTCCAGAGGTTCCTTGATGTGACGACGACGGCCTTCGTCGCTTGGTTTCTAGATGGGAACCACGAATCTCCTCTACAATGATGGATGCAGTACGCCTACTCTCTGCCCATTGTGCCTTAGTGGGTGTTTCGGTACATGAGGTGTTGCCCATCGCTCGTGCCTTGAATGGTTGTTGCCGGTTGTCTTCCCCACCGCGTTTGCCCCCGTTCCTTGCCCAGGGACGCAATTTCGAAGCAGACCACTATCCTGAAGATTGAGGCCCGTGTGCTGGCGGTGGCGCTGGCTTGCATTTACCCGTTCATCAGGAACGTTGACGATCTCTTCAGCATCAGCACGGAGCTCATCATTGTCACTGCGACCATTGGGCTCATCACAAGTGAGGCCCACGGAAGCCGATGTGGACAGCCTCGTCCATACAGTAGCACCCCCCGTGTATTTTTGCTATTCCTAACCCGAAGTGCAAGTGTGGTTCGTTAATAGCACCAGTTCCGTCTCCTTGTCATCCTTGTCGTCGAGACCTAGCCTTACAGTACGGCGTGATTCTCAGATATTATATAAAATTAGACCATCTGACCAGTCAACGTTGACTGGTCACATGGTCTAATTTTATCTAATAAAAGATATGCTCAGAGCTCGTTAGCACCCGGCTGGGACACATGGGGTTGGTGAGTGAGTAGAAATCTCCGGGGCTGGACCCCTCGCCAGACGCTGATCGGTACATAAATGGTGATTATTTTTGTAAGTGGACCTCTGGGATTCGAAACCCGTGCGTGTAACCTTCTGTGAGAACGCTTTGACCATTCGTGAATTTTTGTAATGGACCACTGGGATTCGAAAC